CACCCTGATTCCACTACAACAATCTGCACAGCATGGCAATCTCAGGGATCTTACTATATGAGTCGAGGCACTGCACTCAGCTGGTGGCTGGTGCCTGATACACAATGCAGATACCTACTCATATTGTGGTGTATATTAGGCATAAAGCAGGTTAGGGCCAAATAACACATTGTGGTAACAGATGTATACTGCATCATTGCCCCAAAAATTGACATGAGACAAAATGGGATTGGTCAGGGAATAACTAACAATACCTATTTCAATTTCCAGTTAGGTTATAGGGTTGGGGTACAAAGCTGATTTGGCTCACCAGCATTTCTGACACACTTTACTGTGGCATTGTCACATCCATTCTTAGAAGTGGCTAATGCCCATGGCTATTGCTAGTGCTAGGTAGCAACTATCAAGGTTGGCAACAGAGGTCAGACTTTCCGAACCTGTCGGTTGGGAGTCAAGAACGCATGATTTGCAATTTTACGCCACCCAGCAAGAACTTTGACACACATGGATACACATGGGCCCTGTTTCACGGCGGAGCGCTGCAGTGCGCTGCGCGCGCCGGCGCGTTGGGTTTCCATGGCAATATCAACAAACTTCCCTCTGACGCTACGCTATGACGTCATCGCAAAACGCTAGCACCGCGGCGCCAGCACGATCCGCACGCTAGCAGTATTCGCACTCAAACTTCTGTTCAATTGGTAGATGCTAGGGTCTTCAAGGTCTCTGTTCGAAACGCGACTTACCATAAGCTAACGGATCGCATGCAACATCATTCAAGTGACGTCAGGGGTATGCCTCAGCTCCCAGCGCGCGCAGTGTCGGGCTGTGAAACAGGGCCATGGACATGGACAGAATGGATACACATGGACATGGACAGACACACAAAAAATACATAAATATTATTATACCTATTTAGAACACTACTTACCTCGCTGTCAATATCGGGGTCGCCCTTCTCATTGGGGTGACGCCTACGCAGCTCCTGATCCGCCATCCTCGCTGATCACAAGACCTCCAACTTCAAAAAGCCGCTAGGAATGAAGAGCAAGATAAATACGAAAAAAAAAGTCGTAAAATTGCAGAAGAACCGAGCTCGTATCAACACGGCAACCACAACAGCTTATCGATCCGCCGATCCGCGCCCGCGCCCTCCACACCACCCACAAACGAAATGTTTGTGTTATGATTGTGACTGCGCCGTTCCTAATTTCCGCGTCAGGTTTGTCGGTTTATTTTATTAACGGAAGAGGGCAGGACAGTCGCCTTAAAACGCTGCACACAGCACAACTGAGATATGTATGTACAACTACAAATAGACAATAGTCCATTGATAAAGCCAAGGTGTTTCTGTTTTGCATTGCCTGGAGAACCAAACGAGTACCTATACCTGCCTATACCTTAGGTATTCAGGGGAAACTATTGCCGTGTTTTTAAAGCACAGTTTCTACATAGTAATTAATGCTATAATCATGGATGAAGGAGAACCTGGATTGGAAACTAACAGCTGATTGCGTTCCCTTCGGTAAGTGCCCGAGGGCACACGCGGCGGCAGCGGGAGCCGCGTCTGCCGCGCATTCACTGGCGCCGCGTACGCGTTCACCGGCGCCGCGTAAAAGAAAAACACTAGAAATGGCCCTCTTTTTCACGGTCGCCTGTATTCGGCCCTCGTGTACGACTTTTGTGCGGAACGGACAATAATAGTTTTGGTCTCATTCGATAGCCTAATCAATTTTGTCTGTCGTAAATAGCTTCTAAACCTAAAAATAAATCCGCATTGCGGTCTAATACCCGTTTCAAAACATGCCGCCCCGCGTCCCCCATAGGCCGTAATGCTTAACGGCGGGAGTTTCCAGTCCCGATACTTACCGAACGCTAGGTGGCAGGTCGATCGCCCGGAACGCTGCCCGTAATGTTGAAGGAATAGGAGTTTCCTATCCAGGTTCTTTCATCCATGCTATAATCCTCGGTAGGTATAGTGTAGAGTGGGGCAAAGCGCCTAGGCCATGTTGTTGTTGTGTTGTTGTTGTTTGTCCCCCTGAGACCTCCTTACGGAAGACCAAAGCCGCCCAAGAGGCTCCCTATGGCGCAGGTAGCCGGCCTCCAAAGCAGCCACAAGATCGGCGTCCCGCAGCCGCGACGGGTCGATGGGGATGCTGATTGCTGGCGCTGCCCGTTTGCCGCAGGCGGGCGCCAGCGAGGGCCGGGCAGCGGAACAACACGTACTCCGGCACGTCCGCCTCTTCCCGGCACTGGGCACACGGCACAGAGCGCCATGGGGGGGGGGGGGCACCGCTTATCGGCATAGGCGGCCCGGAACGGGGAGGGCACCGGGGCACCGTGCCCCCTTTGATTTGGGCATTTTAACATTAGCCCTATAGGCGTTGCATGGAAAGAATGGGACCAAAAATCGGCAGTGCCCCCCCCCCCCTTAATTGAAGGTGTTCCGCCGCCACTGCTTATCGGGGCACTGCAGGCATGCCGCGGAGGGGTGGCGGGCGGCGGCACATCCGGTGCAGGTATTGGAGCGAGCGGCCGCAGTGGCCCGCCCTCAACTGGTGCCAGGGGCGGATCCAAGGGGGGGGTCACATGGATCATGCCCCCCCCCCCTTGAGGCCCGGGGGCCCAAAGACCTTCCAGGGGCACCACCGGCCTATCAGGGGTATCACAGTCCTGACAGGGGCACCACAGGACCGCCAGGGGCACCACAGGCCTAGCAGCGACACCACGGGCCTGGTGCCCCTGGGCCCTGCCAGGACTGTAACGCCCCTGACAAGCCTGAAGTGTCCCCGGCAGGCACGTGGTGCCCCTGACAGGCCTGAGGCGCCCCTGTAAGGCCGGTGGTGCCCCTGGCAGGCCTGTGGTGTCCATGGCAGGCCTGTGGTGCCCTTGCTAGGCCTCTGGTGCCCCTGACAGGCTTGTAATGCCCCTGGAAGGACTGTGGTGCCCCTGGGCCCTGACAAGCCTGAGGTGCCCCTGACAGGCCAGAGGTGCCCTTGCTAGGCCTGTGGTGCCCCTGGCAGGCCTCTGGTGCCCCTGACAGGCTTGCGGTGCCCTTGGAAGGACTGTGGTGTCCCTGGGCCCTGACAAGCCTGAGGTGCCCCTGACAGGCCCGTGGTGCCCTTGTTAGGCCTGTGGTGCCCCTGGCAGGCCTCTGGTGCCCTTGCTAGGCCGCTGGTGCCCCTGGCAGGCCTCTGGTGCCCCTGCGCCCGGAGAGGACTGGTGCCCCTGACAAGTCTGAAGTGCCCCTCGGCAGGCCCGTCGTGCCCCTGACAGGCCCAAGGTGCCCCTGCGAGGCCGGTGGTGCCCCTGGCAGGCCTCTGGTGCCCCTGGCAGGTCTGTGGTGCCCCTGGCAGGTCTGTGGCGCCCCTGGCAGACCTGTGTTGACTGGTGCCCCTGCTAGGTCGCTGGTGCCCCTCACAGACCTGTGGTGCCGCTGGGCCTTGACAAGCCTGAGATGCCTGGCTATGACAGGCTCGTGGTGCCCCTGATAGACCAGTGGTGCCCTTGCTAGGCCTGTAGTGCCCCTGGCAGGCCTCTGGTGCCCCTGCTACCCCTGCGCCCTGAGAGGACTATGGTGCCCCTGAAAAGCCTGAAGTGCCTCTCGACAGGCCCGTGGTGCCCCTGGGCCCTGACAGGCCCAAGTTACCCCTGCGAGGTCGGTGGTGCTCCTGGCAGGCCTCTGGTGCCCCTGGCAGGCCTGTGTTGACTGGTGCCCCTGCTAGGCCGCTGGTGCCCCTCACAGGCCTGCGGTGCCCCTGGAAGGACTGTGGTGCCCCTGCCCCTAGGGGTGCTCATGGGCCCAACAGGCCCGTTGTGCCCCTGACAGGCCTGTCGTGTATACTTGCTAGACCTGTGGTGCCCCTGCTTCCTGGCAGGCCTGTGGTGCCCCTGGCGGGCCTGTGGCGCCCCTACAAGGCCGTAGGTGCCCCTGACAGGTTTGTGGTGTCCCTGGAAGGACTTTGGTGCCCCTGACAAGCCTGAAGTGTCAAGGACAGACCCTTTAGACGCCAGGGTCAAGTTCGTCGGACTAACAACGATTTGCTTACCTGATAACGTTCCTGGTAAGTACTCATTACTCAGCGTCCACAACATATATACACATAGCACATTCATATATGTATACTTGCTTACAATTGGTAAATGTGGTTGTGGCTAAGAGGTAAGATACTGACTAAAAATAAAAAATAAAAATAAAAAACTGAAAATGGGGGCACCACCAAAATGAAGTGGACGAAATCCGTTGAGTTTTTAATTTTGGGTATAGGTAGGGGCACCACTTCGATTCATGACCCTCCCCTTGGAGTTTTCCTGGATCCGCCCCTGGGCAGGTCTTTGGGCCCCCGGGCCTCAAGGGGGGGGGCATGACCCATGTGACCCCCCCTTGGATCCGCCACTGGCGGCCTTTGTCGACAAGGCGAAGGCCGAAAGGAGATCGGCATGGCATGTAAAGCTTACGATACCAGTATAACGCCTTTTGGGGCGACTAACGGAGCGAGCGAGAGGGTGGGCCTTGCACATGCGAAATTGTGAGGGGGTATCCCCAACTGACGTGTGCACAGCAGTCAGCTCAGCACCCTACTAACCGGTCTCCAGCGATTTGCCAAATTTGAGGACATGATCGGCCCAGCCGTTCTCGAGATCTGGAAGCGGCACCCTGCACATGCGCACGTGCAAAATGGGTCCCAAGTGACTTTTGCACGGCACCCTACTAACCGGTCCCTAACTGCGTACCAAATTTGAGCGCAATCGGTCCTGCCGTTCTCGAGATCTGGAATCGACCCCTGCACGTGCGCACGTGCAGTAGCACCCCAACTCTGGCACATGGATAATGGATATGCATTGCCTAGTGGGTGCCCCTACCTACATGCCAACATTGCCAACTTCAAGCGCAATCGGCCAAGTAGTTACCGAGATATTGCAACTATTACAAAACTGACACCCCTTCGTTTTGCACGTGGCACGTGCATAAGGGGTCACCCACATGCATCGGGAATTGTAGCGGCGCTGCTCCACCGCTGGTCAAGTGATATTTAGTGGTTGCGACTCACTGAAGTCGCGGCGTCAGCTGCGCGGCAGAGACGTATTTGCTTTTCACCGGCGGCGTGGTCGAGGACGCCATTTTCGCTTTGGCAGTCATCATGCCATGAACAGAGTTTGGCACCCGGCCAGATTCGGGACAGAGTATGTATGAATCAAAGAATATTGTCGTTTTGTTACCTATTTATCAGCTTATGTTGTTACCTATGGATACAATCTGTGATATCGTTTCCATACATTGATTTCTCACGTTGATAACCGATTTACCTAATTTACCTATATTTCGGATGTTTTTCATGCTCATAAGTCACTTAGTGTTATGATTTATGTTCATATTTATGATGTGGGTTTCTTTCTGTGTGTTTCTCAGGTTTTCTACGTTACACCTCCGTTACACCTGCGTTACACCTCCGTTACACCTGTCACCTACGCAGTTACCTAATAGAATCTGAAAGCTAACAACCTGTTTACCTGCCAAAGCCGTATCAGTAGAAAACTCTCCTTGTATCGGCCCAATGTAGTTTTTAACCAGTGTCATTTTTCCTGTACTAAATAATGCTGAAACCTGTTCCAATTCTCATGTAGAATTTGTAGTTCGTAGATGTCGCCCCACTAACCAGTCCCAGAACATGGCGGACTCAAATCAAGGCAACGTTGACACGACAAGAGTGAGAAAGATGACAGAGGCTGGCAAAGCCTATCAGCTGAGCTTGAAACAAGATGTCTACAAGAAATGTGAAAGGAGTCTAATCAAGGTGGGAAATGAGATTGTAAAGGCACTAGAAGAAACAGAAACAAGTGGCACAAGACCAGATGAAGCTCTTCGAACCGCCTACATCTCATGGAAAAGGAACTATGTCATGTTCGTGCAAACAGAAGCAGATCTACGAGCTCTATTAGATGAAGACGCCAAGGAACCACACACAGAAGAGCACAGGCAAGTCCTCTGCAAGTTCAACGAGATGAAACTGAAGATGGAAAACAAACTGGAACCAACAGACCCAACACACAAGGCAGCTGTTGCTCCGTCAGCATCAGGCAGATCCTCAGGCTCTGTTCGCTCCCGAATAGGTCTTCTGCGTCTGGAGGAGGGACAGAGAAGAGCAGAGTTGATGGCAAAGGAAGCAGCTACGAAGCAACGCCTAGCCATCGAACGACAGCAACAGGAGTTGAAGTGGAAGATGGAGCAGCTGCAAGTAGAAGAGGAAAAGAGCATCCTGGAGGCTAAGAGTGCAGCACTGCTGAAGTTCGAGGAAGGTGAGGGGATGTGCGCTCAGGAGTCAACACAGCTGCTGCCAGCAACCCGTCTCATCACCTCCACTGGTGAGACAGCACAGCTGCCGTCAGCAGGCCACTTCAACGCCTGCACCGACGAGACAGCACAGCTGCTGTCAGCAGGCCGCTTCAACACCTGCACTGATGAGACAACACAGCTGCTGTCAACGACTCGCTTCAACGCCTCCACTGATGCGACAGCACAGCTGCCGCCAGCAACCCACCTCAATGTCTCATCTGATGCTGCAAGGGATGTTACTGCATCCATGCCCATGCTTCCTCCCTATCCTGTTCCACAGGCTGGAGCTGTTGCAGGGCCTGGAGACATCAGTAATCAGCAACCTGCAAGAGACCAACTCAACCAGTCATCCTCAGCAGTTGACGTTCTGTCAACCCTGGCGAAGCTCCTCACTGAGAAGAACAACGAGAACCGCCTGCCAGTCTTGGAGCCTGAACTGTTCACTGGTAACATCGAGAAGTTTCCAGTCTGGATCAAAGGGTTTGAAACCTACGTGGAACACAGAACTTCATGCCCCATAGAACGGCTCCACTTCTTGGGAAGATATACTGACGGCGCCGCCCACAGTGCAATCGCCGGGTTCTTACATCTAAGAACAAGCGACGCCTACACCAAGGCCAAAGAGAAATTGGTCAGTCGGTATGGCAACGACTACCTGCTGGCGAACTCGTACTCCAAGCGACTGCGAGACTGGCCGGTGATCAGAGGAGGAGACAACAAGGGACTTCAACAGTTGGCAGACTTCCTGGAACACTGTCTGATGGCCTCAAGTGCCATTGCTGGTATGAGGACGCTGGACGACCCGTACACAGTGCAACTGGTGCTGAAGAAATTGCCATACTACGTCTCCGACAGGTGGAAACGCGTCGTGGACAGTAGCGTGTTCGGGCGCTCTCCTCGGTACCCAACGTTTGCAGCGTTCGTGGACTTCATAACCACCGAAGCTCGGATCGCGTGCGGTCCTGTCAGCATGCAGATGGAAGGTGAAGCTGACACCAGGGGAGCAAGACCTCGAGGAAAGGTGCACACCTTCTCATCGTCCGCTGAGGTCTGCAACGCGTGTGGTCATCAGAGTAACCCAGCGAGAGAGAAGTCTGTCACCAGAAGCAGACAGTGTGTCATCTGTGGTGCTGACCACTCAGTGACTGCATGCAGCAAGTTCATCAAGATGACGCTCACAGACAGAAGACACGCAGTTGAAGAGAGGAGGCTGTGCCGAGGCTGCCTGCGACCCGGCCACATGTGGCGTGACTGCCGCAGGAAAGAGAGGTGTTCAGTCTGTCAGCGTCTCCACCCATCTCTGCTGCACGATGACGTCATCCAAATCAAGACAAAGGAAGACACACGGAAGACATCGCAAGCAAGAGAGTCGCAACAGCGTGCGTCCCCGGAGACGTCAGCAAAAGCGACAACATTGCGATCCAGTCTAGGCGACATGCAGGAGCACAACTCATCTCACTGTCACACAATGATCGTGCCAGTAAAGGTCTTCCACAGGCACCGTCCGGAGCGCGCGCTCATCACGTACGCGCTACTGGACGCTCAGTCGGACGCCAGCTTCATGACTGACTCAGTCTGCAAGACGCTACAAGTCAGCGGCTCAGAAGTAGAGCTGGAGCTCAGTACCATGGCCGGCACGACATCATTCTCAAGTCAGTTAGTGAAGGATCTTCGCATCGAGAGTCTGGCTGACGGCAGTGTAACAGATCTTCCAGACATGTACACTCGTGCTCACATACCAGCTGATCGCAGTCTGATACCGCAACCCAAAACCTGCGAGAAGTGGCCCCATCTCCGCCAGCTTGCAGACGACATCCACGACGAGTTCGCGGATGCGGAGATCGGTCTACTGCTCGGCATTAACTGTGCCAGAGCCATCAAGCCCAGAGAGATCATCCCTGGAGACAACGACGACCCGTGGGCGGTGAGAACGATGCTCGGCTGGGGAATAGTGGGACTCGTCGCCAACAGGGTGCAAGAGATACGACAGTCAACCAACCCAGAACAGTGGCTCTACATAGAGTCCAAGATGAACCCAGCAGACCTCGCCTCTAGAGGTGCAACAGTCGCCGAGCTGATTGAGAGCAGTCTCTGGTGGCACGGACCACCATTCCTGACAGCCCAGCAGAACCTGCCAGTAACGAAGGAACAGTTCGGCGTAGCGGACGAAGATCCAGAAGTCAAGCGGTCCACGTTCCAGACAGTGACCAGCCAGAAGCAAGAGAAGAAGAAGAAGATGACGAAGGAGAAGATGTCAAAAGAGAAGACGATGATGAAGGAAGTCAACGAGCTCTGCGCATCCAGTGAAGGAGATGAGAACCTGACGCCTGTCACACCACAAGATGAAAGCCACAAGGTGACGGGTGAACGGTCTAAGGACAAGCAAGATGCCGCAGAAGCTCCAATGTCCGACCTACCGAGAAGAATGACGTACTTCTCCAACTGGCACCGAGCCAAGAAGTCTGTAGCGCTCTGCGTACGCTACAAGCATGTACTAGCAGCAAAAGTGAACGCCGGTCGGTGCACAACAGCAAAAGTCTACAGTCAGGATCTACGAGTCGGCAAGCCCCTCACGGTGGAGGAGCTCCATCGCGGAGAAACCGAGATCTTGAAAGCAACACAGAAGGAGGCGTTTCAAGATGAGTACGCGCTCCTTAGCACAGCAAAAAATGAAAAGAAGTTCTCCAAGAAGTCGCGTCTCTTCCGCCTGGATCCGTATTTGGACAAGGACGGAGTTATTCGCGTCGGTGGCCGGATCAGCAGAAGCGCGATGTCACCAGAAGTCAGTCACCCAGCGATTCTACCTAGGCACAGTCACGTCACAGAGCTGCTAGTGAAGCACTACCACGAGAAGACGGGCCACTCTGGCCGAGGTTCGACGCTCAATGAACTCCGAGCGGCCGGCTACTGGATTGTCGGCGGCCGTTCTGCTGTGAGCAGCCACATTCTGAGCTGCGTCACATGCAAGCGGCTACGAGGCAAGCCGCAGGAGCAGAAGATGGCTGACCTGCCTCCAGAGCGTACCGAGCCTGCGGAGCCATTCACGCACTGTGCCGTGGACTGCTTCGGACCCTTCTATATCAAAGAAAGAAGGAGCCAGGTCAAGCGGTGGGGTGTATTGTTTACATGCCTAGCGTCTCGTGCCATTCACTTGGAATCTGCAAACTCGATGTCAGCGGACTCATTCTTGAACGCCTTCAAGCGCTTCACCAGCCGTAGAGGGTTAGTCAGGACATTGTTCTGTGATAACGGAACGAACTTCGTTGGCGGAAAGAACCTGTTGGAGGAATCACTGAAGAAGGACGATCATACCTACATCAGAGGTGAACTGCTGAAATCGGAGTGCGACTGGTGCGAGTTTAACTTCAATCCGCCTCACGCCTCCTCAATGGGCGGCGTTTGGGAGCGCATGATCCGCAGCGCGAGGACGGTTCTCACAGCTCTATTGACCACGCATGGCCACACGATGGACGACGAGCTGTTCCGGACGCTGCTCACCGAGGCCGAGGCAATCGTCAACAGCCGCCCACTAACATACGTGTCAAGCTCTCCAGACGAAACGCTTACGCCCCTCAGCCCCAATCAGTTACTAACTCTCAAAGGTCGAGTAGCAACCCCCTATCCAGGGTCCTTCACCCCCGTAGACTTGTACGTCCGACAACGCTGGCGGCGGGTCCAGTTCCTGGCGAACCAGTTCTGGACGAGGTGGAGGAGGGAGATCTTAACGACAGCGGCGATGCAAGAGCGCCAGAAATGGCAGCACCGGCGGCCTAACCTACGTCCGGGCGACGTCGTCTCGGTGATGGACGACGCAGAGCCGCGGCCGCGCTGGCCGCTCGGTCGGGTTGTCAACGTGCACCCGGGCGCGGACGGCCTTGTCCGCAAGGTCTCGGTGCAGATCGGTGGAAGCTTGAAGATTCGGCCAGTGAGCCGGGTGATCCTCCTCATGCGGACTGATTCACAGCCAGAGCCCAGCTGTCTGCATACCGAGAGTGATTCCCGGTCGAGGAGCCCTGAGTGAATACTCGCGTGTGAGCGACGATAGCCGTCGTAGCAGAAGTGCCGTTTTTTGTTGTTGGATGTTCGTAGTGTGTTAAGGAATTTGCAACCTGCAAATTGGGGAGCCATGTAGCGGCGCTGCTCCACCGCTGGTCAAGTGATATTTAGTGGTTGCGACTCACTGAAGTCGCGGCGTCAGCTGCGCGGCAGAGACGTATTTGCTTTTCACCGGCGGCGTGGTCGAGGACGCCATTTTCGCTTTGGCAGTCATCATGCCATGAACAGAGTTTGGCACCCGGCCAGATTCGGGACAGAGTATGTATGAATCAAAGAATATTGTCGTTTTGTTACCTATTTATCAGCTTATGTTGTTACCTATGGATACAATCTGTGATATCGTTTCCATACATTGATTTCTCACGTTGATAACCGATTTACCTAATTTACCTATATTTCGGATGTTTTTCATGCTCATAAGTCACTTAGTGTTATGATTTATGTTCATATTTATGATGTGGGTTTCTTTCTGTGTGTTTCTCAGGTTTTCTACGTTACACCTCCGTTACACCTGTGTTACACCTCCGTTACACCTGTCACCTACGCAGTTACCTAATAGAATCTGAAAGCTAACAACCTGTTTACCTGCCAAAGCCGTATCAGGAATAGTCCAATACTTAGTAGAAGGAATGAAGCTACCCTACAAAAATTACCGCATGTAAATCGGTAGAGCGTTCCCCGTCCTTTGACCTTGACCTTGACCTTGAAGGTCATGACCTAGTGACCTGGAAATCGCCGTCAACCTGCAATAAAGAACGAGGAATCGAATGAGGGCCTTTTCATCAAAATCGGTTCACTGGTTCTTGAGTTATTGCGTTCGCCGTCCGAATATCGAATTTTCAGTTTGATATTCGCGAATATCAATCTGCTGCTCAATTGATGGACGTTGATTTCGATGACCCTGAGCCTTGGATTTCGACATTTATGACGCAGTTTTGCTGCAGTACCACGTGAGAGCACGCGTCGTGTGTTGCTAGTGATGCGCACTTCAACTTTGACTTCAACTTATTCTCATCAAGGCCATCTATAGAATTCTCATTCTGAGCGGACTCGCACAGAAAACGAGGGATCTTGATTTGGAGATTGAGATGGATCAGCATGGTAAGTTCGGTATAATAGCATCGACTCACTTTTCAAAAGTAAGTAGGTAGTACCTACTTACGTAATACGTATTCTTCCATTTTTAAAGTGACCATCCCACCTTAACATTAGTTTTGAGTTGAGATAGCCAAATTGGTGGCCATGGCCTTCAGTACCGGTTTGGGCACTCACAACAACATCGAAAAATGCTTTAATTTGGAGATATGGAATTTCAAACTTGCAGTTTTCGGATTCTAAGGGGCGACTGCACCGGAATGCCCCCTTAGAATTTGTGATGTCAGCGGAGATCTAATGATTTTAAATGTTTAACTAAAACGTTTGGTAGCATGTTGTGGTATATGCTGTTTTAAGCGCAACAAGTGCCGCACTTTCAAATAGTCGCTAGGAACAGCAGAGATTCCAAAAAGTAAACAAAAGTAAAAGCCTAATATCTTGAAATCCAGTGAATATTTTTCGGTGAAATTTGGTACATATTCATTTTTGATCTTTCCGAACCAAGGGACATCACTTCTATGCCAATTCATTGACTTTTTTGAAGGTGGGAGGGTTCCTTTAATGCGCTAAATCCAGATATGATGATAAGGTAGGTGTCTCCAAAATATTAAAAAAGAAACATAACCAGACCTTACCTAACCTCAAAACTGACGCAATGATTTTGTCTAGGCATCCATGGGTAAGGAAGAAGCTTCAACAGTGGGAAATGGAAAGTACCATCATGTAGGTCGCCACGAGACAATTCTAATAGTATTTACCCAGTTTTAACCTTTGCCCCAGTGGGGGGGGGGGGGGGGCATTTGTTAGTTGTTACCACCCTGTCCAGTTTTTTGCGTGTGAATAAAAAACTGGTGCGAAGCGCCTCACTGCTTGGAGTAGCTTGTAGTTCATCATTTTTTGACAACATATGACATTTTTGACCCCAGGTTGAGGTCATGTCTGCCTGCCAGGTCAGGAGGACCAATAAAAATATTTCAGAATCGCAATGATTTGGACTACTTGTGACAACAAAGGTGTCTTTGGCTGCTAGCCTGCCCTCTAGAAAGGTCATCAGAGATCATTTGAGGCTACAGTTTTTTCATATAAAGCTAGGATCTAAATGCTAGGTATAGGAGCACCTCCATTATTTTCCTGCTGCATTCTTGTTAGCAAACCATGTCATTGTCATTATTGAGAGATGTTTTATGGGTATTAATTCCATAAGGAATATTCAATTATTGGTGGTGATAACTCTGCAACTTTGTATTTTCTTGCTACATAACTTCTCCGTTTTGTGCTTTCATCTAGTCAACTCAATGTGAACTGACAAAGGACATTGGACCCTATTCCAGATCCACCAGTGTCTGAACTACTGCCGCTCATGCGGGCTGCATCAATGTCACCAAAAGGACCAAAGTGGTCTCTGGAGGGCTCCGCTGACAGCGACGGGGAATGGGGTCCGTCACGGAGTGTGAGGAAGTCTCAGAGGCCGAGGAACTGCACTCCCATAGACAGTGGCTCTGAGAGCGACTTTCGGCCAGTTGTGAAAGAGGAGATAAAGATTGAAGTCACTTCACCAAGGGTACGTGTTCAAATACAAGGTGCTCACCTCTCATTGGTTTTTAGCTGCGAGGTTAATAAAAGGGAATGACAGCGCATAATGTGTTCCAATTTGTATATCTGTGGAGGATAAACATCTTATGTTTCATTTAATATTGTTCGTCTGTTGATCCGGTCTAGGTTGAGCGGCCGTCGTCTCCCTCGGTGTCGGACGACGATCCTTTGTCGGACCACGCTCTGCATTCTTTAGTGAAGGAGGAAAAGTACCGACCTCGATCACCGTCACCGTCTGAGGACTTCATCGGGTTTACTGAGGTGGACCGGGACAGGTTAGGGCATGATTCAGTGCTGTTGTTGAAATTTTAGTTGTTATTTGACATAGTAAACAATGACATATTATCCTTGATGAATTCTAATAATATTTGCATTTGTCTGTTCTTTCAGTGCCTGTTTCATCTCCAATGCAAAAAGGAGTCTGTTACTTGGTTGTTCGTCTGCCATTCGAGACTCTACTGAAGGTAAGTTTATATATGTGAAGAGACTGTAAGCAATGGGTTTATCGTGATATCCTCGGTCTTACTTTTGTGCCCTTTTCAGAGAAAATGTAAGTTTTATTTTTATTTTTGGTTTCGTACTCTACAAAGTGATTGAATGGCATTATCGAACCATTCTTATGTTCAATTGCATGCACTCTATTGAACTGACGCGTTACCGAAATGCCACCGAATGATTTATTACCCTGTTGAATTTATTGCAGTTTTTGCTGAAGGAGTGTTCATCAAGAGTCAACGTCTCGTCATAAACTACCGAGATGTGGACGGTCTCGATGATAGTAACATATGTGAGTATTCTCTCGATTTTAGTCAGCTACCTTGTCCTCATCAACGGACGAATGTACACGATAAGCACTCATATTGCAGACAAATTAAACCGAATACAGACGCATTGTTTCCGTCTAACGGAACCTTGAACGATTAAACCTTGGTCTGCTCTTCATCAAATCGCTAATAATTTTTTCGCCCTTCTTTCTGACAGTTTGTGACGTGTGCTGCCGCGATTGGGACGGTGAATGTCCCGTCCATGGACCGCTCAAGATCATACACGATACCAAGGTAAGACTGGTCCATACTGGTCTGATTCGTATTCTTTACACATGACTCCTCTCACATTTAGACATTAAATAATATGACCAATTGTGCCTGATGCCCTAGTGACGGAACGACATGAGCTTCATGTAAAAATGATCTATTTCTTTCACATTTACGTAATCCTCTTCCTCATAGCATGGATGAAGTATTTACTCTAATCCATGCTCATAGTTATATTATTGCTTTGCTTCTGTCTTGTTAGCAGGTAATACTGTCATGGGTACGTGGTCAAGAACAGGTTCATGATCTATATCCACAAAACATACGCGTCTGATTTACAAACAGGCTTAAGATAATCTCAATGCATTGATTGTATTGTCGACATTGCGCCCCACATGCGCTGAACATTCCAGGCACGACCCGGTATCGGAGATGTCGACAGGGACGTCAAGACTCTCCCGCCTTCTCTCAGCTCTGGTCCGTCGACAAATCCAGCGTCTGGCACCGGTAAGTTAATGAGGCAAGACAAATGGCGATACGTAACAACTGCTGCTGGACGTTTGATTTGATGCATCATTTGGTGATGGTTGCTTGTGTTGTATGATTTCATGTCCCATGTATCAGTACATGTTGTGTCCATTTAGTTGAGGTGAAGGCTTGTATTTATTTGATTCCAGGAGTTTTGGCGGAGAAGGACATACCTGCGCGCCAAAGACTCGGTCCTTACGAGGGCACCTTGACCACCGAGCAGGGTCAGGCCCGAAGTCGAACAACCGGGTACAGATGGCAGGTCAGTTCAGTTGTTTTGTTTTGCAGGTAAAAAACGCATATTTTCACTTTAGACTTACTTCAACGATAAAAGCTATTAAAGGTAGATTATGACCTTTTCCCACTTTATTGGAGTTGGGACCATTTTTTAGTAGAAGATGTATAGATATAATGAAAATTCATTGCATTTTGCCGAAAGCACAAAATTACCATGTTTTTTAAGTTGAAGTAGCTCAAGCGCTCCGCGCTTGGTAGTGATGGGTGAGCAAGTACTTGCAGGTTTAAGTAAAATCGGTGTGTAAAAATAAATCAATATTTGAAATTTTTAGTACCACTAAAATTACTCAGTATGTCAAAAGATTCTTTTGATATATTGATGCAAATACATTACCTTTCTTAGAATACGAGTGGGTCGAAATACATGTGTACCGGATGACATAAATTTCGTAGCTGCGTTCCATCTGATTTGAATGGCCACAATAACGCACGGCTATGGGAATAACGCGTCATTGTTTGAAACAAAAACGCCGCACACTGCGACTTTTTGAAAGAGAAGGACACAGCATTTCAGTGGGTTTTGCAAGTACTGCAAATACTGCTTTTTTTGTAGAAATAAAAACAGCTTTCACATACGAAAATGTGCCAGAAATGTTTTTATCTTTTTAATAAACTGCGGTAAAAATAACATGAAGGTCGAATAATTTTTATTTAAGAAAAATGAAAGCTCATTATCTCCCTTTAGAAAACATCAGGGGCGCCGCCACGGATTTTTGACTGGGGGGGACGGACTGACCGACTGAAAACCCAAAAGTAGACATTCTTACCGTGGCTTTTTTCGGTCGGATGCATTCAACGTTTAAAGCAAATATGCCACTTTTAACATAGGGTTTTGAACTGAAGTAGCAGTTTTGTAGCTTGAGCTGAGACGAGAACAAATCAGGAGCTCTTATGACCCAACGATCGCCCTAGCCAAATATATCGGTATCGATTTTAGGTTTGAAGACTGACGTCATTCCCATAGATTACACTTTGTCATTCTCTTACCGAGGAATCCATTCCCTTACGGAAAAATGCTAGCCAATCAGCATTCAGCTGGTTTGAGTTACGTACTATGCTTGGTCAACGCGTGATCAGCTTCCGCTGCAATATAGGTAAGTAGCCTCTACGAAAGATGGAAAAGTGATGTAAAAATAAATATAAAATCCATTTGCAAATATTCATTATTGCCTGACCATTTTAAGTTTAAAAACTCATAAAACTGTGGCAAAACAACTGGTTTGAGGAAAGTAGTTTAGGTACATAGGTGTCGATTTCTACCGAGTTTGGGGTGCCCGGGCGCAGCAAATCCGCCGCCGCCCGAGCGGTGACCTTGACCCGCACGGTCTGTTGAGGCTCCAAAGCCAAGCCGGCCGAGCCGGCGGGGAATTTGGAGAGCTCGGGCACCCCCGACTTGGCGGAAATGGACACCCATGTTTAGGTATTTCCTTAAAGTAATGGCTATAGACCGCATTCCCACCGAGTACCTACCTATACACATCTGATGTCCGATTCAGTTTCACGGCAAAGCCTCGTGTTCTATCACGGTATAATTGCTGATGTATGCCACTAATATGATCGATAATGCATATTACATAGGTAATGCATATTGCATACCCGCGTGGGGGAGGGGGCGTTGTATAGTCACAAATATCTCTTTTTGGGTTGTGCACGAATCGGCGCGAAGCGCCGCGAAAATTGGCAAAAAAAAAACATTAGGCAAAACTGCTCCAAAATACGAATTTTGCAGCCCGTGTAACAAGCTTGATACCAGAAAACCTTAGGTCAGGAAAACCAAATCAAGTAGTCAAGTCGCCTCAAAGTTTTGTGGTCCTGTCAACCGTAGGTATAGCTTATTTCTTAGAAGCTGGAAATTTAGTGTAGCGTGACTGCAGAAGTGTGGGGTCGGAGCCGGAATCAGTCGGAGTTGACTGTTTTGACCAGTTTTGGCTAGAGTCGGAGTTGAAGTCTTCGAAAATGTTTGGATTTTGACTTCGAGGTCGGAATGGATTGGTGTAAAGTCATGCTCTTGGCTAGTTAGACGAAATATATTAGGCCCGTGTTCGGCCAGTCGTGTTATACGACACACGTTGATCACGATATCAAAAATCGGCAGTTCCGCGATGACAGGTCGGAAAAGAGCTGGAGATTTTGTTGGCCGAGGTGGCAGGGGTCAGACCAATGCATCCAGCTTCCCTTTCTGCTCTACACAAGACGTGAATGAGTGAAAAGCCACGTTTATTGTGGACCTTATTTGAATACCTCTGAATCTGAATCTGAATCTGCATGTAGGCCCACACCCCATATACTGAGTACCTATCTAAACCTCCTGGACCCTCTCAGATTCGGCACCGGCCGTTCCATCTCTTCCATCCTCAGGACAGTCAAATCCTTCTCCTCCACGCCGCAACCCCTGCTCCAGGCTGGACGGACAACTCTATCCCATGCGGGAATGGCTCCACTGGAGCTATAGTCCTTTGCTGGGTGCAGTGAGTGCCAGTGGGCTGCAGGCTGCCTGTTCAATTGGTCGGGTTCATCCCAAGCGGCTCACTGGGGTGGCTGCCCCGACCAATGTCTCCCACTAATTCTTTCATACTTGCGGCTCTGAAATGGTCTCATTGGACCGAAGCGCCTAATCAAATTTCGAGTAGGATAACAACCAGTAAAACGCCTTTTGGGGCGACCAACGGAGCGAGCGAGAGGGTGGGGTGGGCCTTGCACGTGCGAAATTGCGAGGGGATACCTCCAACTAACTTGTGCACTGCACTCTGCTAACCGGTCCCTAACGATGTGCCAAATTTGAGCGCAATCGGCCCAGCCGTTCTCGAGATCTGGAAGCGGCACCCTGCACGTGCGCACGTGCAAAATGGGTCCCAACTGACTTTTGCACGGCACCCTACTAACCGGTCCCTAACCATGTATCAGATTTCAGTACAATCGGTTCAGCCGTTCTCGAGATCTGGAATCGACCCCTGCATGTGCGCACGTGCAGCAGCACCCCAACTGTGGCACATGGATATGCATTGCCTAGTGGGTATACCTACCTACATGCCAACTTTCAGCGCAATGGCGGCCCAGTAGTTGCCGAGATATTGAAATTGCTACAACACTGACACCTCTTCGTTTTTCACGTGGCACGTGCATATGGGGTCACTCACATGCATCGGGAATAGTCCGATGCTCGTTAGCTACCCTACAAAAATTACCGCATGTAAGTCGATCAAGTGGTTGCTGAGATATAAGCCTAGCAAAAGCGTGACCACGGCATACTCAGAAATTTCCGTTAACCTACGAACGACTATACGCTCGCTTCGCTCGCTCCGTAATGAGTTTGGGGGGGACGTCCCCCTTCCATTCTGTGAGTGGGGGGGACGCGTCCCCCCCGTCCCCCCCGGTGGCGGCGCCCATGGAAAACATGTTAGACCAATGTTAGCAACATGTAAATTTTATAATGTTTTCATTGCACATGCCATATTTTTACTTTGTTCTTTGATATGATGAACTACGTTTTTGTTTGCTACCACAGATCAAGAAGGATAAGCGCGTGCATCACTCGGTGAATGCCGAAGACCCGAGCTGCAGCAACTGGCTCAGAAGGGTCAACTGTGCCCGCTCGGAGGAAGAACAAAACATAGTGGCCTTCCAGTACCGGGGCCAGGTATACTTCAGGTGCGTTGTTGTCTTGGAATCCACGGATCTATTCTTCCTAACTGCATTACGTATTTTATGCGCGGTTTGTCCTGTGGCCCCTATTTTTCTTTAATGGATTCGTCGAAGTTATTAATGACTGTGTAAGTGTTGTGACTACACCAATCAAGCTTTCATCAATAATGCTATATTTATCTCCCTATGCAGGACGTCAAAGCCCGTTCCGCGGGGCTCTGAGCTGCTGGTGTACTACGCAGACGACTCGGCCCGGGAACTGACCGTCCACTCGGAGACGTCTGAGAAGTCTGTGACTTCCTCTCCGGCCGGACCTTCATCTTCAGGTCAGTTCATCGTTTGCGGCTCCGAGAGCTATGGTGTCCATCGAAGTGACGCTGGTAATGCCATTTACCCTTCTGCCGACAGTAGACTGTTTTTTGCCCGGTTCGTTGAGAAGTTCTGCTACTTTGACGTATGCAGGCACGACGTTTATATGCCAACTTACATCGGCTCGGTTCGTAACTTGAACTGGCATTTCGGCTTGCGACCTAACCGGGTTAGGTCGTTCTATGCTAAAGCAGCTCGCATAATGCGACCTGCTTTGGCATGGAACGTTTTTTTAATGGCCTTTCTTCTTTCTGTGTATTCTTCAGGAATCAGTGGCTCGGTCCAATGTCCCCAATGCGGCTTCAGATGTTTGGGAAAACATTGTCTGGACGGACACGTGAAGAGAAGTCACGGTCATATGGGCAGGAACGGCAGCTTGAAGTGCGAGTGGTGTCAATACTCGACCGACAGGTCCGACTGTATGAAAAACCACCGCAGAACTCACACAGGGGAACGGCCATAGGCTGCTCCATTTGCAAGGCACGGTTCTCTAGGCGGTCAGGTCTCACCGATCACATGCGGACCCACACTGGGGAGCGGCCATACGGCTGCTCTATCTGTACGGCCCGGTTCACTGAACGGTCCACCCTCACCAGACACGTGCGAACCCACACTGGGGAGCGGCCATACGGCTGCTCTATCTGTACGGCACGGTACACCAAACCGTCCGCCCTCACTATACACATGCGGACTCACACTGGGGAGCGGCCGTATGGCTGCTCCATCTGCACTGCACGGTTCTCTGTTCGAGCAAGCCTAAACAACCACATGCGGATTCACACTAGGGAGCGGCCATACGGCTGCTCCATCTGCAAGGAACGGTTCACTGAACGGTCAAATCTCACCAGACACATGCGGACCCACACTGGGGAGCGGCCATACGGCTGCTCCATCTGCAAGGCACGATTTACTCTACGAGGAAGTCTCACCATGCACATTCGGACCCACACTGGGGAGCGGCCGCACGGGTGTTCACATTGCCAGGCTCGGTTCGCTAGGCGGGGAGATCTCAACAAACACATACGTACCCACACTGGGGAGCGGCCGTACGGCTGCTCCATCTGCAAGGCACGGTTCACTCGACGGTCACACCTCACCAGACACCTGCGAACCCACACTGGGGATCGGTCGTACGGGTGCTCCATCTGCCATGCACGGTTCACTCGACGGTCTTACCTCGATACGCACATGTTTTTCGATACGCACATGTGCAGCTGTTTTTTTTTTTCAAAGAACGCAATATGATTGGTGAACGCGTAATATCCTCCGCCACCATCTTTAGTCCCAACGGAAGATACAATATAATTCTTCGTATACCTGTTATAAGTAAAAAATCATAAACATGTTTTTTAATCGGCATCATTTTTGTCATAAAATAATCATTAAACTGTAGCAAGAAAAAATATATATTTGGGAGTGGTATATATCCTTAAAGGACTGCTGAGGGGAACGATTTTACCTTTTAAAATGATTTTGAATAGTTGACGGCCGATGGGTAGGGAAGATTGGGGCAGATAGTGTCACGGGGCACATCCTGTCAGCAGGGTTTTCTCGAAAACTATCGAGCGCATTTATGTTGTTGAAGTTAAAAGGTTTGTTTTTGCTTGACAAAGTCCGGTACTATCAATACAACAACGTGCCGGTGACCAGGCTGTAGTCACTGGCATACCTGTAACGTGTTCGTTTTTCGTGATGTCATCGTGTGAATTTGCCCTTTTTATGAGGTACCCAATCTCTTTAATTACTTAATTGTTTTGGGATATTGCGTAATATTCAGGATCAGTCTAACGGAACAAGATTTCAATGTCTAAAACTATCAAATAGATGCAGTTTTTTTTTACTCCCGAAGAAGTTTACACCATGACGTCAGCATTCTCTCGTAACGCCTCTTTACGTTTCGCAAAAGTCTCTTTGAAGTCTCGTGACGTCTCTTTACGTTTGCAACGGAAATCCAAACTTTTTGACAAGAACAAAACGCTAGTTCATGACTGTACAGGTAGCGCGATGGTGGCATTGAGTACCGTTTCGGGTAGTCTTGAATGTCAACATTTTTTTCTGAACATATTGTCCATATTGTCGAAGTTTTCAATAAGAACCACAACATTTTTATTGACATCGAGTGGGGCACATCATGTTACTCAATCCGAAATCCAGCCCATCTGTTCAGCATTGTTGGAATTTATGCAAGCTGCTGCATTTTGAGGAGCTGCATCAAAAACCTGGGGGTGTTGAGCCATCCAGCATCCTTGCGTTTGGGGACATTACATTTCATAGGGTGTTGCGGCACCTATGCCTTTGTGGGCGTTCAATTTTCATCTGTGTCAGCCAACCGATCTTGTCCATTACGTGTTTATCGCCGTCGCAAGTTTATCGGCTGGTGACTGTTAATTCCACCACCGCTACTCGACGTCTCTTTACGTCGTGACCGCATGTCAGGCATCGGTCAGTACCTTCAGTGGCTCTCAAACTTCTTTGTCCAGATGCGGACGGCACAGCTGGCGCCCTAATCCTGCTTCACCGACAACTAACGCATCGCTACTATGGAAGCGATGCATGTCCTTCATTTTTTTTTTATATTGAGTATCACACAGGATGAAATCATTTTTGCCTGATTTTTCATATTTGGCCAGGAACATTGTCGACATCGCTCTTCTCTCAATGTCTTTCACAGGTGTTGGTCGCACACTTCAGTGTCCCTACTGCGACGTCAGATGTCTGGGACAACAACATCTGGACGGACACGTGAAGATAAGACACGGTCACATCGGCAGGAACGGGAGATTCAAGTGCGAGCGGTGTCAATACTCAACTGACAAGTCCGCCCGTATGAAACACCACCGCATGACTCACACGGGAGAGCGACCCCACTGCTGCTCTATCTGTACGGCACGGTTCGTTCAACGGGCACACCTAAACACACACATGCGGACCCACACGGGGGAGCGGCCGTTCGGCTGCTCCATTTGCCCGGCACGGTTCGCTGACCTTTCATCGCGTATCGGACACATGCGTACCCACAGTGGGGAGAGGCCATACGGCTGCTCCATCTGCCCGGCACGGTTCACTGTTCGATCAAGCCTCAACATACACATGCGGACCCACACTGGGGAGCGGCCGCACGGTTGCTCTATCTGCAAGGCACGGTTCTTTGAACGGTCACATCTTACTGCACACATGCGGACCCACACTGGGGAGCGGCCGTTCGGCTGCTCCATCTGCACGGCACGGTTCACTGAACGGTCTACCCTAACAAAACACATGCGCACCCACACAGGGGAGCGGCCGTACGGCTGCTCCATCTGCCCGGCACGGTTCACTCAGCGGGTTAAGGCCACCGCACACTATCCATTCGGCCGGTTCATTCGGTCGTCACAGCGGCGATTTTCTCGCGCAAGTGTCTATATCGGCCGAATGGCCGAATCGCTTAGAGCAGAAATATCGTCGTTGAAATATCGCCTAAACTGTTGTAACCGAATTCCAAGAGCGCAAGTAATGAATGTTTTATAATGAATATTGGAAAAGACCAAATATAATCCAGCTTCATATATTTAGTGCATCGTTCAAAAAAGAAACAAAATTATAGGTTAATTGCAGTTTGAGTAGGTAGCTTGCTTGATAATGAAAACAAATTGGCTGTTAAAAACATTGAACAAAGTACACCGACTATTGAGGTCTAAATGGTCTGAGCATATCGCAAGCGATTAACCAAACTTAGCAACATTAATGTGCATTGTATTGATGCTCTGGGACCAAAAGATTTAGTTATCTGCATGCTGAGCCACCAAACAACCCGTACACACTTCAACTAGCCATCGCGATACTGTACTTCAAGCTGGCACTCCAGAGGGTGCAGGAGAGACGCAGACCCTTGGTCCGGCGCATGGGGTCAGCGACGTGCTGCAGCGCCGAGACGAGCTGGGCGAGCACGCCAACCGAGAGCAGGAGCTTCGGCTCAACGACCCCCAGCGACACAGGTTCAGTATTTCCGACTGAGCTAGGGAGCCTTCAGCCTCCTGCTAGCACAGATCGAGGGCCAGATCGCCCGCTCGACCACCACCTTCCTCCAGCCGGTGAGCGCACCGTTGCGGCTGGCGATTACACCCCACTATCTGGCGTCGGGGGCTGAATTTTCCGCTCTGGCGCCGAGCTACCGGCTCGCGGAGTCGACCACGCGCGCGTTGGTGTACATCTGTTGCGCGATCGTGAACGTCTGCGGTGCAGTGTACCTGCCGGAGCCGACGGAGGAGACGTTGCGCGGCAGTGAGCGGAAGTTCCGGGAGCGATGGCTTTTTTCGAACCGCTTTTACACACTGACCGAAAGCCAGGTCGGCATCATTCAACGGTTTAGCCACCTGTTGTACACTTTGAACTTTTGAAGTGCTGCGAGCGTTTCGACTGGGCACGGCTGCTCCTTGCGGACACTGGTGATGCCGGCACCGACCGCTCCAGAGACGGGGCTGGCCCGAGCGCCGGCCTTGGAGCTGGTGCTGCTTGCCGGGGCGCCGGCCCCGGGGACAGAGCTGGTGCGCCGGCCGTTTGCGGTTCAGCTGGTGCCTCATCGTCCAGGAAGACTCGTGTTTCATGAAACTGGCTTGTTGTGTACCGCTTGAATGAGATCCACTTCTCCGACCCAACTGAAAACATAGGGACTTTGTTAATTTTGAACGCCACCTGTTGTGCTGCTGGGCCCACGACCCGCGTCATCGTTTTAGCCCGAGTCATCCATCCTCTTGGGTCCAGCCCACCTCGAGTGAGGCCACTGCAATGGCGTGTTTATAGGTATATTGGTAATGACACTCGGTGCACCCTCCACACCAGCTGAGCCGACAGTAGATGTCGCCTCTGCTGCCTGCTGGGAGACGCGCGCGCCATCTAAAGGCGGGTTGGTGGAACAGCTATCAAAGGTCCGCTCATCACACTGAAATGTGTACAACTGTACACAAAGGTCGATCTGCACTGGTTGGAGTGGACACATCTACCTGGTTCATTGACCCGGCAGAGAAGAAAACTATCACTATTGTGAAAGATCTCTGGGGAATAAATGATACACAAAACAGTATTGAATGGTGAATAGCTACTACAGAAGGGACAGGTGGCTATTTTTATATTTGTTCAGTGCCATTACATTTTATTTAACATAAAATGAGCTCCTGTACAGAGCAGACAAAAACACACAAAAAAACACATTCAGCATGCTGATCTCACAACTCTTTCAATGCAAATATTGCATGCAAGTGTTTGTGTGCATCCCATAAAGCCTCCAGACTTTTCTTTCATGGCCCTACGTTTGACACATCCAACATCTTGATCTGGCAGAAACACAGAAAAAGGAAAAATACTCTGAAAAATGGAATTTCTATTATAGTTTGACAACTCAGATTTTGAATTATGGCACTTCTTGTACCATAAGAAAGAGTTGTGCTCAACACTTTCACCAACCATGCAATAAAGTACCTACATATCTAATATCAGTTGGGCAAACTAGACCTTTGGAATCAAAATATGGAGGCATCAAAAGATTGATTCCTTTTGGGCATAAATGCAGACCATTTCTAACTTACCAATCACATAAAAATAAGAGAGTGTTTCAAAAAGGAGCACAGTCGGGGAAACTGTGGTAAAATCTTGCCATTTTTAGCAGTCTGCTATTTTTAGCAGAAATCTGCTAAAAATGGGTACGGACCTGCTAAAAATGGGTACGCACGTGACGTCATCGTACCCAAATATAGCAGATTTGGGTACGGACCCATACAAAAACAGATTTGCGCACTACTTGAAGCAAATGCGCATCAAATGCCTGGCAGATTCATGATGAGAATAGTGCTGAGAGTGTCCTCTTCTATTTTCTTTCAGATCCGACTATTTTTTAATAAGATATTGCCATTGGAAGATGAATGCACTGAAATTTCCTAGAAATTGGTCATTGTTTTAGGTATTTTATGTTTCTTCTATTAAGAATAGACAGAAAATAATGTTGAAAACAAAATCTAGCAAAAAAATACATAAGGTTGAGATTCATTACTAGAACAGGCCATCACTATAACAAACACAATTTGGCATGATTGGTTGACACACATGTTATCAAGGTCATACCATTGAAGGGGTAAATAGCTATGTAGGCATATTTTAATAGTTAATTTAGCCGTTTATGTGGTTTTTTAAGATGACCCTGGCCACAGTGTTTCTTATAATGGTAAATTTGGCACATAGCATTGCCTGGTTTTGTTCAAACAGCAGCTTATACCCTGCTGGATTTTGGCACGACTTTTCAACCTTAATGGTTAGGATGTCATTTTAGTGGTTTAATAATCCATTTTGGTTAAAAATGTTACCTCCATCTTATTCTCCAGACTTTAAAGTGTATGTAATGACCAGCTATTTTGAGTGAAGACAATTCTTTTTTGGGAAATGAGTAGAAGTTTGGCACAGCCTAGCAGTCAAACACGTCAGGCTGCAGGCTGGTGGTCAATTATTTACTATTTTTTTCACATGTTTTGTTCCTCAAGATGACTATTATTTTCAAAAATCAACATCAAATTGCCAAACCTTAAACATTGGTGTGGGTGTGTGTTTATTTGTTGATCATTATCATTGCATACTGATTGCGTGACCAGATGAATATTGAATGTTGCATGGTGTGAGTCTACCACAGATCTTACGAGGGCCATATGGGTAATCGGGCTTCACGGTTTAAGAACCTGATGCTATTTCTGTATGTGTCTGCATGCTTTTGCCTGTTTGAAATGCATACTGTCTCAGTCTTGTCTGGACGTACTAGGACTTAGTAAACTTTGGTATGTGAGGTTCATGATGACACGTATTGCAGTAATCAGACTGTTTTCAAGAAGCCTTCCACACTTTTGAATGCTGTAAAAAGCTCTCTCTCCCTCGCTCTCTCTCTCTCTCTGTCTCTGTCTCTGTCTGTCTCTGTCTCTGTTTCTGTTTCTGTCTCTGTCTCTGTTTCAGCCTGGTCAACTGTGCCATTGCCTTAAGATGGTGCTGCTAGGCAACAGTGTACTGCCTCCTCTGGTGGATGGAGTGGGCGTGGGGTGCCAAAGCTCAGTTATACATGTACATTTCACCATTAATCAATAGATACATAGATATATCTTCTGCTATTTTTAGCAGATGCAGCTGCTAAAAATAGCAGTTCTAATAATATTTGGGGCTTCCTGAATCAGCAAGATTTACAGCATTGTTCCATAAAGTTTTTAGGCAAATGATAGGTTCATTTGAAAATGTGAGAATTGTAGTATAGAAATTGCATGCAAAATAGTGTGTTTCTGAGTGAAAGATGAATGTTTGACCAGTTTTCAAACAGTACTTTTTACCGTACCCATTTTTAGCAGATTCGTACCCATTTTAAGCAGAATTCTGCTAAAAATAGCAGACTGCTAAAAATGGCAGATTTTACCATAGTTTCCCCGACTGAGCATGCCTGATCTTGAACAGAAATGCTCGAACTATCTCCTAAGCAAAATAATATTGCTCCTATCATAACAATTTGAATTATATAGGTAGTGAAAGGCAATCAAGGAATTGATTCACTTTAAACAGATAATCATAATATTGATTCCTCATCAGCTGGCTAATCATTATTTTGATTCACAGGTAATGTTAACAGATAGGCAACAATGACTTGCAAGAATACAGCATTTATCTCGCTATTATTCTCATTTAGTGGTATCCTCAGCACCAGAACTGATACCTATAGCATTGTTGTACTTTACCTTCACTACATTTGATAACAATTCACAATTTTTAAATGTCAAGAATACAAAAACTGAAGCAACAGGTAAAAACCATATAAATAATATAAAAGCACTACAACAATGATAATTAGGGGTTTAAAAATTTCATTTTGCCATTTTACACAAATACTGATTGGTTAGTATGTGATTCATGATACCAAAATAACATACAGTGTGATTTCCTCAAAACAGCTTTTACCTGATGGACAGTGGCTCTGTCTTTTTCCCATTCACAAAGCCAAAGGGACAATTTCTCAGCTTTGAGGTAACACTTTTTGCAAGCCTACCACATTTTTCTACCTTTTAAAAGAAAAATCTCACCGTCATGGGCCTTTTTTCAACCGTAACGATTCATTTGAAGTCAAAAGTGTACCCAAATGAATCAAAAAATTGATTCCATGCCCATATTTGGTCATGGCTCCTCCCACCAGAATCAAATTATTGATGCCTCTATATTTTGATTCCAAAAGTCTAGTTTGCCCAACTGATATGTGACACATTAGTGCGACAGTAGCCTGTTGGAGGCAATGTGAATGAAATGATAAATGAAAACCCAGATTGCATGGTAAGAACATTATATAAGAACATTACAGGTACTTTCAATGACTTTGACTTGCAGGGTTTGAATTTTGATTAAATAATTTAAGAATAGCTCCTTGAAACCTAGAACAATTGTGTCCAGCATTTCAAGTTACTGGCAAAAGCAGAAAATATTTGCTTATATGGATAATAAATGGCCATT